GGTGTCTTCTACCCTAAACAAATCCTTAATCTTAACACCTCTGTCCCTATCTCCCCATTACCCTCAACCTACCGTTGTGCACTAAAAGATCCAAACTGGCATGCTGCTATGTGTGATGAATTTAATGCCTTGATAAAGAATGACACATGGGAATTAGTACCCCCCTCCCCCTCCCAAAACCTTATCACCGGTAAATGGCTTTTTAGACACAAATTTGGCCCCTCAGGTGAGTTATCCCGGTACAAGGCCCGTTGGGTGGTTCGCGGCTTCTATCAACGTTTTGGTGTTGATTATGACGAGACCTTCAGCCCGTTGTCAATCCCGCCACTGTCCGTATCGTCCTCAGCCTTGCTCTGTCTCGCGGATGGCCCATTCACCAACTTGATATCAAAAATGTGTTCCTTGATGGTCAGCTACAGGAGACCGTTTATGCCAGCCAGCTTTCTGGGTTTCAGGATCCCACTCGCCCTCACTATGTCTGCAAACTCAAGAAGGCTCTTTATGGTCTTAAGCAAGCACCACGCTCTTAGTTTCACAGGTTTGCAGGTTTCATACAGACTATTGGCTTTCGAGGATGTAAGGCCGACACTTCCCTATTCATTTTCTCTCAGCCCATGGGCACGACCTACCTACTCCTATATGTTGATGACGTTGTACTCACGACATCCTCTCCGGCACTTCTCCAGAGCCTCATTCAGCAGCTCAAGGCTGAATTCTCCATGACAGACATGGGCATCCTGCATTTTTTCCTTGGGATCAATTTTCAGCGCACAGCCACCGGCCTCTTCCTCCACCAGACTCAGTTTACTCATGATATCCTTGAGCGGGCAGGGATGGTCTCTTGCCGCCCCATCTCTACCCCGGTGGACACAAAGACAAAACTATCTATCATAGCTGGTTCGGCCCTCTCCGACCCCTCTTTTTACAGGTCTATTGTTGGCGCGCTGCAGTATCTTACATTCACTCGTCCTGACATCACATATGCTGTTCAGCAGCTCTGTCTACATCTTCACGCACCGTGCGATGCTCATCTCACTGCCATGAAGCGCGTCCTTCGTTATCTTAGTGGCACCGCCACCCACGAGATCCAGTTGACACGATCAGCCACTGACTATCTACAGGCTTATTCTGATGCTGATTGGGCTGGCTTCCCTGACACTAGACGTTCCACATCGGGTTACTGTGTCTTCCTGGGCGACAGTCTCGTTTCCTGGTCATCCAAACGTCAGGCCACCACCTCTCGTTCCAGCGCTGAGGCTGAATATCGGGCAGTTGCCAATGCCGTTGCAGAGACTTGCTGGATCCGGAATCTTCTTCTTGAGCTGCAACAACCACTCCATCGCGCCACACTAGTCTTCTGTGACAATGTTAGTGCTGTTTACCTATCATCAAATCCGGTGCAACATCAGCAGACCAAACACGTCGAGTTTGATATACACTTTGTGCGCGATAAAGTGGCGCTTGGTCAGATCAAAGTTCTTCATGTTCCTTCATCTTCTCAGTTTGCTGATATCTACACGAAAGGACTGCATGCCCTCTCTCTTATTTCTAGACTTCAGAGAAAGCCTGGGTATCCGACCCCCAGCACATCCGACGTAGCCGGGAGCATGTTAAATATATAAAATATATTTAATATTATTGTATTATGATTTGTTTCCATACTTGTATAGCTTACCTAGAATTCCTCTCCTACCATAACTAGGATTGAGATGTTGTATATATACATGTATTCCTCACATAATTAATCAATTCAATGAAAATACAATTCTTCACATACTAATCTTATTTACATTTTAAAATGCGGAGTAATAAAAATATTTATTTTTGAAAAATCAATAGTACATTTATATATAAAAACAAAAAAAATTGAAAAATGAATAATGAAATGCAAGAAGTGCTTATGAAAACTAGTTTATATTTCACAAACTAAAGATAATGAGTAATAACAAAATAATATATACTTGTATTTTAGATGCTTCTTGACATTTTAAAATTTATGTACAACAAATTAACTTTCAATTAAATGTACAATATATTACACAAAATAAAACTTGAAATGAATTTTCAAAATAAACATTTTACTACCTCCGTCCCAAAAAGATTTACACGTTTTGACTAAAGTTGAAATTAAGGGAGGGATAATTTTATGCTGACTTTCCAAAAATACCCTTGATGTGATGAGTAAAAGTAGGATGTGATGTGTAGATTATTAGGAAAAAGGTATGATGTGATAGGTAGGTTTTGAAAAAGTAAGGGGTAAAAGTAGTTTTTTAATATAAATGGGTAGGATATTGTGGGACGCAATTATTTTGAAAGGTGTAAATCTTTTTGGGACGGAGGGAGTATTTAATAAGAAATATAAAAGGAGTATTTTATTTAAAATATTACTCCGTAGTATATATGTTCGGTTCAGTATGGTTTGGTTTTTTACGGTATTTTTTCAAATTGATTTTTTTTGTTTTCATTTAAATTTTTGGTTTTTTTCGAAAATTTATGGAATGGGTTCGGTACTTGCTCACCCATAGTTAGAAAGAATTATAACTAGAAGATTTCTTAATCTCTTTGAAATACAAACGTAGAAGATCTGTACGGGACGGAGGGAGTATAGTTTTTTCTTAATTTGTGGTAAATGTTTGTAAAAGTTGACAAGATTTTTTTGGGAGGGGGGAGGAGGTATATTGGTTGGTATGCATTGAATGTTATATGTGTTTAAATTCAAAATAAAATAAATGAAAGGACCAAATCCCTTGCGTATTTAGTAGAGGATCTGTCAATAACATATATTGTCCAACATGTAATGGATAGGTTTTGAAATTGGGAGCTAGGGCAAAGACTTGCAATATGAGATTTTTATGGTACGTTAAATGCTCCTGCAACATTTACAAATGACAACCAACCATGTACTAGTTTCACCTGTTTATATTTATTGCCATCTCCCACATTTCTTCTTTATATACTCAAACTATTTTTATTACAGAGTATCATTTATCTCTCTCTCTCATTCACCATTTTTGAGCTGCTAAGGATGGAGCTCATCACAAGCACCATGAGGAAGCATGCTTCTTTCTTCACCTTTGCTACAATGGTGGCTTTGTTCTCCCACAGTTTGGTCATCCCTGTAATGTCCACCGCTGAGTATTACTCTCCTAAACCCACCACAACCATAACCCCTCCAGCAGGTTAGTTCTTTTTTTTTCTTTCTTTAAAAAGAAAAATCTTATGTCGTACCTATATATGTAAAGTAACAATGTGGTCACTATTCATTCATTATGTGTATAGTGATAGTCATCAACGCATGCTTGCAGGAGACTCGCCAGCCAACATTAATTGCAACACTCCTCCACGTGGCGGCAGCGGCGGTGGCGGAGGAGGCAGTGACGGTCATCATGAGCCTTCCACCCCTTCCAGATCTCCTCCGTCCGGCCACCACGATGGCGGTGGCGGAAGCGGCGGGTACCATTATTCTCCACCACCATACACTCCAACTACCCCCACCCCGACTGTTCCTACCCCGAAGACTCCCGCGGTTGTGACTCCACCAACGGACCCCCACACCCCA